AGCAGAAGCTGACGTAAGGGGGTGGAATGGGGCGCAGGAGAGGGAACCTAGTCGGCGGACATCTGTTGCATGGGAAGTAGCATTCCTTTTCTCTCGAACTGTATCATCTCTAGTTGATATATCTGCGGACTATGGAGTATATCTTCAGACCACCCAGCTACTAAGACGGACATATAAATGTATACTGTCTACGCTCGTTTGTTGGGTCGGCACAGACGCGGTATCTTGGCTGCGGTTGAGACAACGAGAAGGAAATGACCTGTGATGACACTTGCGGACTGGGACACTCATATGCTGAGTTCTATCTGTTGCATTTCCAGCGTTCTGTTGTTATAGTTGTGGATTGAGCTTGATATGGATGTAATGACTTGGTTTACAAACCAGTGCCCTCGGTGCGTTCATGTAGTCTGTACCAGAAACAAAGTGCTTGCAGATGGCCAATTCCATTTATTATTGGAATGCAAATGGATTCATATGTTGTGATCTCGTCAAAGTCATCGGCCGTAAATGATGTGTATCGCCCATCATAAAATTTAAACAAAACGGGTCCGTGCCTGAGTTTCATCTTACACGGAACTGGGTATAGAAAACATTAAATAGGCATCCAAACAATAAAATGCGAAAGGCAGAGGTGAGAATGCGCCGGTAGTAGCAATGCGGCTCATGTCAGGTGTCATAATATGTTCATCCGGTCAAGACTTGGACTCGTCGCCTCGCCGCAGAACTCAACGATCAATCGTTCCAGATCTGACAGCTTATATGGCTTGGTCATGTAGCCTTTGATGCCAACTTTGGAGGCACGTCCGAGAGCCTCATCGGTTACATCTGCGCTGACGGCAAGGACCGTGGGGAGCGGCAGCAGTAAGTTATTGGCTTGACAGGTCGGTTGTTTCTGAAGGGCCTGGCGCTGATATTCATCTACCAGTCTGAGGATCTTCGACGTTGCCTCATAACCGTCCATTTCCGGCATCCAGAGGTCCATCAAGACGACATCGACTGGTTTCGTGCGCTTACATCCGCAGTCTCCCAACTGATCCTCTACTTGCCTTTTCCGACAGTCGGAGGACCGACTCAAGGTTTTGGATTTCTGAGATGCCAAAACGTCCTGCATTACACGCACGGCTTCCTTTCCGTTGCAAGCTTCGTAAATATCCTGGTACCCAAGCCGTTTGAGCATGTTCACCAGAACCCGTCGATTTATCATATTGTCTTCAGCTACCAGGAAGGTGAGCGGGTGCTTCTGTCCGAGCTTCTCGTCATACGCATCCCCATTGATTGAAGGGCGGATAAATTTCGCGGTGGATACGGAGCGAATGGGGGTCGACGTCTGAGACAATGTTTCTTCGGTCAAGCTTGGAGACGGCTGTTGGATCGGTTGGCTCGGCCGGCGAATCGAGGGTGATAACATGGACTGCTCGAGGCCGGAATTGCTCGAAATACTCGTCGTACTCAATCGCGAATGATCACCGCCGTCAGGAGGCGTCAAACTACTTGCCATGCAAGCCACCGGCTTGTTGCTTGACTTGGATTGAGTGACGGGAATACTGATCTCAAATTCCGAGCCATGATCGGGCCCAGAGGTACACGAGCGAACACAGATCAAGTCACCACCCATCTTCCTAGCAAGACCCTTAGCGACCAGAAGTCCGAGACCGAGGCCGTCCTTGCTCCGAGTGATTGACGCATCTTCTCTTGCGAAGGGTGTAAAGAGCCTGGGCAAAAATGCCTCTGGTATACCTGGTCCAGTATCTCGCACGGTGATGACGAGTTCACCGACATTAGGACCGGCCTTTGCGCAGACTGTAATCATACCACTATTTGTGAACTTCACTGCGTTTAAAAAGACGCACGAAATCAACTTTGCCAGGTCTTTGGCATCCACAAGCAAAGTTTCCGGTAGCGCTTCATCGACGCTCCACACGATAGTCTTGGAGAAAATCTCCCCGTTGGAAGATCGTGTCCGAACCTCAATCCTCTCTCCTAGATCCGTAGCCTCGCTCAGAGTAAAATCAGGTCGGCCGCCGACATGGAGCGATTCCTTTATCACCAGCCGAAGCAGCTCACGAAGCTTGGTGACTCTCAGAGAGGGACTTCTCATATTGAGATTGATGCCTTCCAGCAGAAGATGGGTTGCCGATCTCCTCACAGCTAACGGGGGACGCATCTCCACCATGTCTGCCATGACCTCTTCGATGTGAAGTGAGGGATTTGCGTGAACGATTTGCTCGCTCTCGTAAACGGCATTCTTGACGTCCTCACTCCGCGGAGACAGCTCTTTCTTGGCCGAGCGTCGGGGCGCCTTAGCCTTTGGCGTCGATGCTTCGCTCCAGTCAGCGGGATTGCTTCGTCGCCGCTTGTATGGGTTGACTGCAATATTGTTGCCTTGGTTGAAGATGTTTGGCAGACTTTCAATCGGTGACTGGACCGGGCCACTGAACGGATCGCTCTCATGCTCCCGCTGGGGGGTTTTGGGAACTTGCATATTGAGATCGTAGGCATGAACGACATTATCTGCAGCCTCAACCGCCCGTCTTGCACTGTCTGTAATTCGGTTGCATTAGCGGCTTGCTCCTGGAAGGATGTTTCCTTGTAACTAACCCTGAACCATCTCGATGCTCTCCTTGAGAGATTGAAAGACATATCCATTTTTTGCAGAAGGCTTCCCATGCATGGCCTCTCGTACGGTGGCATGCATGACGTCCAGCATTCCCAGAACTCCCTGCATTGGCGTTCGTAATTCATGGGACAAGCTTCGAGCATACGGCTTGAGCGGCTGAGTTGTAAATTCGGCGTAGCAATTGGCAATGCTGGGGTTCACATTATCGACGGCTCTTACACTTCCGGGTGTGCCCGTGGCTTCTCTCTTCGGTTGTTCACTGAGTTTCGGACACTCGGCATCATTATGAATCTGTTGGACAACCAAATCTTCCACCGAATACAGGATCATCTCTAGGAATGACCACGGTAGACTTCGCTTCTGTAGGCCAGTCTTGGACCACATGAGACCGAGATGGGCGATACACTTCGTCTGAAAGAAGAGTGGCACAGCCAAGTATCCGTCCGCGGCAAATGGAAGTTTGTCCGGACAGAAACAACGAAGAGATTCAAGGTTCTCCGGGATCAAACATGGTTTCTCGTGGTCCATATGTGACAAGGGGTTGCCCCCAGCAAAATACCTGTGCCTGTGCATCCCAACTGTCTGATTCCCGTCATTGTAATAGAACGCAGTGCCAAACAGACTTGGTTTGTGATCTCCCATCTCAATCACGAGCTCATGGTCTTGGACCTTGCGAGCTACGAAGCCATACTGGGCATTGCAGATCGAGGTGACGCTCTCCATGAGCCGGTTCCAGAATGATTCCGAGTCAAGAGCTCTGAGTTCCTGCTTCAATTTTACCAAACGCTCAATGGCGATGTTTTGGGCACTGCCGGCGTATCTGCGGGCGGGCGAGGAGTCGAACCCCGGCTCATCGTCTCGGAACGTAGTGGCAGTCGTATCGCCAGGGAGACACTGGGATTTGCAGGGGAGAAATGACATGGTTCTGCAGGAGAGGATTGAATCCGACCATTCTGACTCGACTGAATCGGACATAATGCTCGGAATGGAAATTGCGCTGCTGATAGGTAATGGTTCTGATCTCCCTCTACCAACGGTGTTTGCTGTTTCCTTCTCCTCTGCTGCTTCGGCTGTTAAGGTATAGGTGGGCGCCAGGAGACTGCTGCAGATTTCCGGGAGATCAGAGATTCACGAGACAAGGTATCGTTGAGCGAAACACAAAGCATGGCTCTCTATCTGGAGAAAGGAACAACATAGATTGCATTCGCGGTCCATTTAAGGAAACTAAGCGACGGACGAAAGATTAAGAGGCCAAGGACATGGTGAGAGAACGAGGACTGCGTTGATCTGATTGATTATTAAAGACGATCGATGCTAATGGAGGAGAGGTAGACTAGGAGACAACCAGAGAGAAAATAACGCGGGGAATAGGCGAGACCTGTTTTGGTCGAGTAGTCAATATATTCTCAGTAGACTAATTAGTAGTACTATGTCTACGAGGGATGAATGACCAGAAGAGACTTCCATAATCTCTGGTTCCCCATCTGTAAGAGGACTCCAGCCTAACCAGTCTGCTCTCTCACAAACTGGACAGATCCATTTCTTCTCTCCATCGGCTGGTCTAGACACACGGGAAGGCTGAAACGCTGCAAACCGTAGGCCTCAGCATGCCGATCCTATGGGAATTAAAATTATTGTTATTGTTATTTATCCGCTTAAAAGTCTTGGGTTTACCAGAAATAAAGAAATAATACGCTGGTCCCTCATTCTCATAGTATTTCATCTTGAAAGTAGAGGAGAGGTAATAAAGAGATAATAAGCACGGTTTGGGTCAGGAACAGAGTGGACCACATTTATTGTGGTTCTGTACCAAGAGGTACCTGAATTAATCGCTGGTTGTACACATGCCCTTGCTGAGATCTAGAACAAACGACAGAGTGGACAGCAGTGGTGGCAAATTTGACTGCATGATGACGATGACGAGACAACGATGATAATACCAAAGAATTTGGTTGAGGACGTCGGACTAACCTGCTGGCAATCAATCCTTTAGATAGATGATGATACCAAGGACTGGCGACTGGCGCAAGATGATCAAATAATCATGGGTTCATTAATTGAAAACAGTCTAGTTCCATGGTTCAAGCATGGCTTTCTGTCCCAACTTCGGATTTCTTCATTGCAGGTACTAGAAGGGTAGTACTTACGGTAGCCATGATATTGCTATTCTCAGTCCATGCGCCTGTTCTGTTCTCCTTGCGGAGTAGATAAATCAACTTGGAATCGTCGAGGTACAAAATACTCCTACGAACCGAGGTATCGATCGGTGTCATATGTAGATCCGGCGGACAGCATGACAGCTGGGTTATATGCGCATCATGGTACGTAGTATCTACAATGCCTCGATCAATCCAGCTGTCACTGGAACCCAGCCAGTATCAAGATGAATATAATCAGGCCTTTCAACATCAGTATCCCCGACTCCCAACTGGATCTCTTGAACCAGAAACTTCAATCCGCTAGCTTCCCCGATGAACTAGACGCAGCAGCCTGGGACCTGGGAGTCCCACTGGACGAGATCAAACGACTGACCGCATATTGGCGCGATGGCTTCGACTGGCGCGCAAAGGAGAAGGAGTTGAACGAAAAACTGCACCAATACATGGTCTCTGTCTCTGTTCCGGGCTTTGCGCAGCTGGATATTCATTGCGTGCACCAGAAGAGTCCTACACCGGGTGCTATCCCGCTACTCTTCCTACATGGCTGTAATGTACCATATGCGCGGTTAACTTTGTAGATGAAGGTGTTGACTGGTTTACAATATCCAGGGCCAGGAAGCTTCCTTGAGGCCGTCAAGCTGATACCTCTCTTGACGAAAGGCGACGAGAATCAGCCGGCGTTTGACCTGGTGGTGCCTTCGCTGCCAAACTTTGGCTTCTCGCAGGGCGTGAAACAGGTCTGTCCAAGTTGTACCATCAGTACATGCTGTACTGCTCTAGCTGACCCGCCCCTGTCTATGTAGAGAGGCTTCGGTCTGGCGCAATATGCCCAAGCGATGCATTCTCTCATGCTGAATCTGGGCTATGAGGAATACGGTACGCTTCCACGACGATCCATTCCATTCAGTAGCAATATCACGACCACCCTATTGACAAGTCAATAGTCATCCAAGGAGGAGACTGGGGTAGCATCATCGCCCGCGTCATGGCAACGCTCTACCCCCAGCACGTCAAAGCCGTCCATCTCAACTTCGCCCCCGTGGCTCCTCCCTACCCATGGCGCCACCCGTGGATATTTCTGCAATCAATCCTCACCCTCCCCTTCTCACCCAAAAGCAGGGCTCTCATCTCGACCACGCTCGACTATCTGAACCGGGGAAATGGTTACATACGCCAGCAGGAAACTCGCCCCCAGACGCTGGGCTACGGGCTACACGATAGTCCCGTCGCCCTACTGGCTTGGATCTACGACAAGTTACACGCGTGGACGGACGACTATCCCTGGACGGACGACGAGATTCTCACGTGGGTGAGCGTCTATCAGTTCTCGGTCGCGGGCCCGGCGGCTTCGGTTCGGATCTACTACGAAGCTGCGCAGACGCCGCCTGCTGATGCGCCAGCGTCGACGTTGAAGAGGGTGTCCACCGTCGATGCAATCTCCGCGTCCATCCCCGGGGAGGTCAAGTTGGCCGTGGCTCATTTCAAACGAGAGTTGATCAAGTTACCCTCTCTGTGGTGTCGGAGCATGGGCTCGGTGGTGCGGGAAAGTGAGTTTGAATGTGGTGGTCATTTTGCCGCGTGGGAGGTACCGGAGCTGCTCGCTGCTGATGTGAGAAGCTTTCTGGGGAAGCGTGGCCAGGCGTACGGCGCTGTAACCGGGAAGAATGGCTACTAAGTGTGGAAACCTATACTCGGGTTCATGAAGAAATAGTCATCAAGGCCGTAAAGCAGTCTTCTACCCTTGCCAATTCAGGTCCGTGTCAGGCCGATGCTTCAGAGCTAGAGGTACATGAACAGACATCGCTGTTCTCTTGCTTCCTCCATCAACACGACTGTATGTAGGATCTAGGTCAGATCTGAGACCACAGCGACTGCTTCCAACCAGTAGGTTTGGACCAGGATACGATTGAGAGATGGCATTAAACGAAAATAAAACGAAATGCGTGCCAAATACAGAACATCTAATCTTGTCTTCCCTTGAGTAGCCGCTTCGTCACCTTGTCTTTCTCTATGATGTATACTTGAGCACCCCAACCGGAAAGAGCATCTCTGTCAACTGCACTGAGGAGGGCTTGAGAAATGGTTTCGAACAAATCTTCAGGGGACTGAGGAAGGTAAAATCGAACGTTAGCGGAACCGTCTCGCAGCATAAGCTGAACCAAGAAACGTACCAGATCTGGCTCCCACAAACCCTCACAGGTACCGAAAAGCTGGTCGCTCGCCGTACCACTGACAATGAAATCCTTGGCGAAATCGATGCACCCGATACTGTCGAACCCGCAAATAAAAGGCTTACCCGTCGTGCTGTTCACGCCAGCAATGACAGGGCTCACGAAGAAAGGTCCAAACCGTCTCTCATACAGCGTTGAACTGACCAGGTTGGCCAGAGTCTGGGGCGCAATGTTCCGTTCTTCGCGGAGTCGGTACATGTTCACCTTGTAGCGAAAGAGGTCTGAGACAGTATTGACGTCCGTGGCCAGGCCAGTCAGCCCGAGGTAAGTCGAGGGACTGTAGTTGAAGATCTTGGGGAAGTTGTTGGAGACTGTCAAGGCCTGCATGCCCAGTCGGAGGTCGCAGGCAATTGCAACGCAGTCCTTGCCCACCATGGCGACACAAGCTCCGCCATCTAAAGAAGACACTGTCAGTCTCTTGCATGTGAGATCGTGGTAAGGATCAGGAAAAGTGCGTACTGATATCGAAGGGAGAGCTCTGAAGGTTGGGTTCGATTAGCTCAAGTCAGTCAGGTTACGAAGGGGAAGCTCAACTTACCATTTTGAATTAGGTATGTCTAGAAATTGCAAGCTGGATGAGATCGGAGAGAGTCAAATTGAAGTAAAAGAAGAGGTTGGGGGGAAGGAGGAGAATGGAATTCAAGGTGAGGATGAAGGTGATGCCGATGATGGAGAAAGATGATAAATGACGGGGAAGCTCTGCTCCTGGTCCAACGCGTGAGAGCCGCCGAGAGCTTCGTTGCGGATGACGCTGCGCCCGCTGCCTACGGGAACCGTCGAAAGTAACTTCGTAGGTAGATGAATATTGATCTCATGCCCTCCTCTTTCTTTGAACTTCTATTCTATTCCTCTACAAATCTCTTCCTATTCAGATATAGAACTCCTGGTTTTTGTCAACTTCTTTTTCCATCTCATCCTAGAGTCCCCATCTTCCTTCATAGTAGCCCCGCAATAATAATATCATTCAAGCAAGCGATCGCCTTCAAACCATGAGCTCACATGTCGTCGTTCTAGACTCGACTGCTCGAAGAGCCACAATCAAAACAACACCCGGGAAACATCTGACGGATATTCTGCAAGAAGCATGCGCAAAGCTCGGCTTGAATGCGAGCCAGTACGGCCTCAAGTAAGTGAAGTGAGCTCTTAATGAAGCAATGAAACGGACTCTAACACTTGGGAAGGTACAAGGGCAAACAGCTTGATCTTTCCTTGGTCTTCCGTCTCTCCGGCCTGGCTTCCGGTGCGAAACTTGAATTAGTACAGCTCTCCCGATCGCCTTCCATTGTCACGGTCGCTTTACAGCTGCCCGAGGCAGAAGCTCGAGGTGTTCCCAACGGACGGCTTCTAGACAAGTTCCCCAGCACAACAACGTTATGGCTAGTGCTGCGCAAGTTTGAGGCGGGTGTTGCAGGTGGCGGACCGACTCGAAATTTCACTGGGCGAGGCGTCCCAGTCGCCAGTGCCGGCAACGAGGGATCCGGACGCTTATTTTACGAGACTCCGGTGGTTCAGATCATGGGGCGAGAACTGTCGACATTCGAAGATCTCCAGAAGTCGCTAGCGCAGCTTGGATTCAATAGTGGGAATGTCCTAGTCAGATTAAGCTTCCGGCGGACAGAGGAACCTCTGGAGGTGGCTATGGTTAAGATTCAAGATTACTTCAAAGCGTTTGAGGATGCTGCCCCGAAACCACAAGAGGCGGCCGCTGCGCCAGCGCAACCTACTGTTGCCGATTCAAGCCAACCTCTACAACGAGTGCCGAGTGCTGAACATGCTGAACATGCTGAACCCCTGGGTGCTGCAGCTGCAGCACCTGCGCCATCAACACAAGTACCGGAGCCACCTGTTCCTCATCCCTCCATCACCTCTACCGAACCATCTGCTGTGAACCAGCCCTCTTCGCGACCAGTCACAGTCTTCTCAGCACCGTCCAACACCACTCCGCAGGCCGCGCAAATGACGTATAATGAAGAGGACTACATTCCATCTGTGGACCAAGCACAAGCCCACCAGCGCCGTCTCAATGCCGCCTCCCGGCCCGTCCGTCTTCCCACGGATACAGAAATCGCAGCCAAAGCAGCGGAGGAGGAAGAGAAGCGTGCAGCGACCAGAGAAGTCGATATCAAGATCCGCCTTCCGGACCAGAGCCAGATTGTCTCAAAGTTCGGGCAACAAGATACCGGCGCAACGCTTTACGGCTTCGTAAGGAGTTGTTTGTCGGAGCAATTTGCCAGCGAGAGATTCATACTCACGTCCTTCCCTGCTGGGCCCCCGGGCTCAGGCGCGAAGAAGATTCAGAGTATCATTCCAGATACAGATCAGGCGTTCTTGATCAAGGATCTTGGCATGATCGGTCGGGTCCTCGTCACCTTCTCTTGGGACGCAAGTGCGTCTCCCGCCGCTCGATCAAGCAGAGCAAGTGTACTGAAGCCTGAGCTCCGGAACCAAGCTCGGGAGCTCAAGGTCGAGCAGCCGCCAGAGTTGATGGATACTTCACAGAATACTGTCCCACCGAAGGTAGGCGGACTCGGCGACCGCGATGGAGAGAAGTCTGGGGGACGCAAACCTGGCGGGATACCCAAGTGGTTGAAACTTCCTGGAAAGAAATGAGAAGCTGCAATGGCATTTCCTTATTAGCGTGAAATCTCATTGTGTATTTTAGAATGACCAATGGTTACGATTTATCTACGGACGTGCTCGAAATATACTCAACTTCGCCGTTGACTTGATGTCATAGAAGTCGAATGCATATATGATGACGGTAGAAGACAAGGACGTTTCTGAATCTCCGCGATGCATTCGCTGCGAGCGATATGGGACACGGAGAAGTATTGGCAAAGAATTGTATCCGCGTGACAGGTGGATCCATCAGAGAGAAAGTGTTTCGATAGATTAAATGTAGTGTTAGGATCAAAGTCACCGAGCCCGTAAGACCAGCCCGAAAAACTCCCAGTTGCATTAGATTCAAGAGATCCATTTTGGTATTTAGTCCATGCTTATTGCATCATGAGTCTGTCCCTTCCATTGGGCCTTTTTGACGAATTGGATGTTACGAACAATTCCTGGTTCCATGCGCCAACTCAGCAACCGAAACGATTTCACTTAAATTTCGTTATCTCGTTCTCTGGCGATAATAAACACATTTTCAGAGGAAGGAAAAACGAATTTAGTGACCAGCCACACGTCTGGACTCGGCGATGACTCTCTGCATGTCCTCAACCTTTCTCTTGCCACGGGAGAAGGTACCGAGCTATAACAGAAGATTCGTTAGCATTGTTCATGAACGACTGCTAAAGTTCTCAGCAAGTGTTCCCTCAACTCGCTCCACAGGCCGTTGGTCGGTGGTCTCAGTAATTGAAGGGACAGATTCGTGGCGGGCGTAGTGTCCAACCGACAATTGCCGTATGCTTCATCAGATTGTACTCCGAACCGCAGACACCGCAATCATGCAGTTACCAGGGGAGCGAGCGAGAGGAACACCCATGAAGACCAATATCCAGAACTCATGACATACCCTCTTCTTGGCGAGCTTACGAGCTCTCTTGTCCTGAGTGTTTCTCAGAAGTTCGATGATACGACGCTCATAGGGGGCAAGACCGACAACCTCGCGGGCGATGTCACGGACGAAGGCAGTGCGGCGGGAAGACTGGCCCTTGGTGCGGCTGATCCGGGTCTTGGGGGTGTTGAGAGGGGTGGTTTTCTATCATGGGAACCCAAGTCAGCTTCACTGATTGTTCCTCATTCCTATATAACCAAAGTCGAATGTTTCCGATCGATTTGTGTCAAGTCGGGCTCAATAAGTTCGATTGGTACGTCCGTTGTCGTTCCATTTCCTCCATCTCAAGAAGGAACTGAGCCTTTGGACAATCCGACAATATATCCCCTCCATATTTTATGCTCCGCATCCTCAATCCAAATCTCTCGAGATCGACTGGACAAACACCGACCGGAAACATTCTTTTTCTTAGGGAAACGGGAGAGGGGTTCAACGTACGTGGCCCTTGTTCAGACCGACCACGATTCCGGAACGTTCCTGCGCCATCTCGACGATTGTGACTGGGGTTTGGCGACGACGGTGGTTGCTGGAAGGAAGTTGTCGAGTCGACGGTCGTCGGTGCGGATAGAATCGCGATGGAGTTTGCAAAGTTTTGGTTGGTCGCCCGCGTTGGTGCGTAGGCGAGCGGTTAGGGCTTAGGGCTAGGGTGGCCAACCTACATCCGTACATCGCCCTTGCCGCATGGGGCATTCCCGTGCCAGGATAAGGGCTTGTACTTTACCCTTTCAGGAAGGTATGCTTCTTCATCTGCCCTTGTGTACGCATGATGTACTATTCGACTTCTACTAAACGTTGACGCACCCATAACCTTGAAAGCAAGAATATTGCGGGAATATATAAGACGCCTCATCCTCGTTGAGACGCAACATCCACCTCAACTGTCTTCAGAATCCCCGAACGATAATCTGACCCGTGTCCAGCGCCTCGACTTTCGAATGTATAACTGTCCGACGTCACTTTTGGAAGTTCAAGTATACCCACTTGAGCACCGGCAGTCGTGTAACTGGCCCCTGAAAAGATACGTCCTGTGTGCTCCTCAGGCTGTTGCTCAATATCATCCAGCTCGCAGTTGGTGCTCTGGCAGAGCTCGGTCATGCTAAGGCAGCCGCTCGATTGTTTCTTTTGACGTACGGACCGGCTGGTGGGCCAACTGATTACTTCTATCGCTCTCTTTGCCGAGCGGGACGAATAGCTGGTGCTTGCACCCGAGATTAGGGAACGTGCTCGCTTGAAGAAATGTCTGAAGAAGGTTGGTAAAGCCGGCATACAACTGGCTATGATCCCGGAGGTGACTTCAGCGGACCTTCATTGGAGGAAGACAACACTGTCAGCAGTTTGATCATAAATTAAAGACATAATGACACACGTCCGAGGAAATTGCCTTACGTCCATAAGAACTCGGGGAACCAGTCGTAGGTCTTGTCCTTGACGGTTTTGTTCCGTACACTGACCACAAGGCGCATGATACTACACATGCAAGCGCTATGTGCAGTTATCTTGGTCAGTCTGAGAAGATACTCATGGTCCCCGAATAACAAAGGGTGATTCTCACAAGATGCCAGCAGCGAAGATCGCAGATGTGCCCCATTTCTTGGAGTTTCTCATTTGCAAGCGCCACACACTAACAATAGGCAGAACCAGTATCAGGAAGTCCGACGCCACATTGATTGAGGAAGTCACGATTATGGGGACATTGATATTGATACAGTGCCCTTTGAGGGACTTATCCCAGATCTTCGCTCGAGGCGAGCATTCGAAGATCTTCACGATCGTGTCTGCAAAGTAGAACCCCAAGTTGAGCCAGATAAGAGCGTGGATGCAGAAGAAGGTCTTGCTTCTGAAAGAGGGAGCAAATACACGTAAGTAAAGCAGAAGGACTGATAGTTTCGTGATGAAGATCAAAGGCCCATAGACTATCTGCGAGGTATTTGCCCACTGAACCTCATCAGCGAACACACTAAACCCACGATGCAAGGCGCTCATACCTTGCTATATTTTCGCAGATCAGATTCATCCACGTCCCATATATGGATGCCATTGCCGTATTTGTCAGCCTCGAATGTGATCACGACGTATGCTAACAGTCCCAGCTGGTGTTTATGAGCAACTCATTATCCAAGTCATAAAAGTGGCCCATACCCAGGCTAGAACGCAGCAAACTATGGGACAACTGTCTCAGCGCTTGATGACCCAATTACGAATAATGATTCTCATGCTGGGATTTCACATACGGTCTTCCCATCCCGGTGCTTTAGTGATAAGTAATTTCGAATACATCCGCATCCAGACAAGAACTGTACTTATAGCTAGGCATGTCGCTTGCGTGACGACGTTCCAGTAGCGCACTGAGTCTCGGTAGTCGTATCTATGAACCTCGCTTGCAGAGGCCTGCATGCCCTCAGAAACAGACATTATGCCCTGTTAGATAGGTTTCTTTGTAGGAGCAATTCAGCGTCAAGGACAGTGCCGATGAACTGTTTGTGAGATCAACACAAGGGCATCAGCAATTCTACAGCGTAGACGTAGCGTCCATCGGGGGCAATCTTCCGCTCTGCAAGTGCAAGTCAAGATCCAGAAGAGAACAAGCACCAGGAGTCTTGTAATCCGCAGCAGCAAATCATCCGTCGCAACAGCACTGAACACCAGCAGCCGCTGATGTAGCATCCAGCATACACCCATGGCAGCCAAAAGGACGATCAAAATCACCCTTGCGGTGCGATTACCTGCATACACGCTTATGGTCCATAAGCTTACGGCTTCGCCTTCACACATGACAAGGAAAGAATGCCTGGTACAACCGGATTAGAAACCCCGTGACACGGAAATGGAGCGGATCAATATACAAGCCTTGATCTACGCGTGGACACTGGCGAAGGATCCCATTATCCTAGTTCAGTCTCGTATTTGATGGAAGGACATGGGTTCAAGTGAGGAGCTGGGCCGGCTGTGCCACCCTCATTGCGGCAGTTGAGGTGGTCCTTGTGTTACTGGCCCGTATTCTGAGTGGATTCGGAACTGGTGGAGGAGAAATGACTCGCGTATCATAACTTCTGGGCTAGGAGTATGCAGGAATGTAAGGGATTAGCATCCTGGTGCGGATGGCCATGCTGATGAGATTCGAGAATGCAGTCTTTCGCTGAATCTGGGAATATCTCGCTCAGCGTCTGATTATAAAGTCCTATGCGTACTAGCACAACTGCTGTCGTTGCTCGATTAGAAGGTATGGACTGGAGTGTAGGACGGTGGAAGGCTATATCGGTGGCACAGCAGTCATGGTTTTATTGTCTGATGCACGTGCTGGCAGTCATGAACAGGCCGTTGAAATGAAGAGGCAACGTATCACTACTCACCGTTGAAGGCTACCACACGTGTTTGTGCTTCATCATCCATGGCAGGGTGACTAGTCCATTTGAATCCTATGAAGCCAGGTATTTTTATCTGTATAGGTTCGGTATATACACATATATCCATATATCTGGTTCGAGTTCTTCTCGTCTCTAGATCACCGTCACCCAATCATCACAGCTTCACAGAGAGCGCTCCATCCAGGCTTTCCTCCCAGCTTTCCATTAGCTCACCACAGAGCAGTTCCAGTGCTGGCATGTCAAGCGTCTTCGCGAGCTCGGTCCGAAGTTGCTGACCACCATCCAGAACGAGGTCGACCAGGGAGCCAAGCATGCCTGGCTCGGAGATTCGCGACTTGAGCGCACGAATATTTGCTCTCGCGCTCTCATACGCTTCCCCGATCAGGCCAGCCAATTTTTCGACACGGTCCTTGGGAAGCTTTGCTGTCTTGGAACCTTTCTTTGATGTGATGGTATATATAAAGGACAACGCCTTGAGTGACTCGAGTACGAGGAAAGCGACATGTAAATATTTCCATGATGGGGCCGAGGGTGTTTCCGGTTTCAGGAACACTGCAGTTCTCGACATGACGGGGGAGAGTTTCGCGCTGTCCAAGGCAAAGTCCTTCGAAGTGAACTCGAGCCACTGCTCCACCTGCGATAAGCAGGCATCAACCTCTTCTAAATCGACCGATTTTGATCCGCTGAGAAGCTTTGCCACTTTGAGGAGGTTCAGATGTAGCTTGACGCTCTCTATTTCAGGAGCGGTCATCTCCGACTCGGCGTCTGAACTCAGAAGATCATCCAGGCTAGGCACATCAAAATCCGAAGACACCGGTTTCTGAGCAGCAAGGTTCTTCAAGAGGTCGAACAGTTGATCTGTCAACTGAGCCGATTTCACCCAACGTTCCTGGACAACATCAGCCACATTCTATCAAGAGACAAGAAGACTCACCTTAGGAAGAGGCCCCAAGCGGACTCGCTCCTCAAAAGTAGGCTGGCCCGGTGCTTCACAGTTCATAAATGCATCAAAAACACGTTGATCTGCCATGGGAGATGTCTCTCTTGCTGAAGTAGCCGTTCAGGTTAGCATTAGCTTGGCATATTCCGCTGGAATATAAGAAATGCTCACCCAAATCACTGTACCGGCCCATATTGTCGCCTCCAGCTAACCGCTGTATCCGCTTCACATCTAATGCCCACATTTTACGGCAGACACTGTGCTTGAGCCGTCTCTGAAGGTCGATGGTTCCTTCGACGTTCACATAACTGCCGTATTCCAACCCGTTCGTCCTGTTCCTAACTGTCGTGACGTCCGCAGTCCGGTAAAAGTTGAGGGCTTGTACAAATGCAGATTGCGGGTGGAAATCCTTGTACTCTGCACCTTCAACTGGCGGTGCCGAACTGGGGTGGATAGTTGCTAGCCGCGTAAAGAGATTGTGCGCTACAGTTTCATACTGCAGCTGCTTGACAGCTAGTTTGCTGAATGTCCTAAGAGCCAGGGATCCTGCGCCTAAGCGAAGATATATCCGAACGAGCAGCAACAGCGCGTTGTAATTATGCGGAGAGTCAAGCAAGAGACGCTCGAGAATACCTGCTGCGCGAATCAAACTGGTGTCCGGGATCTGCTCCGGCTTATCATTGATCCAGCCTCCACTGAATCGAATTAGACTCATAGCAGCGAGCAAGCCAAGGTCATCACTAGGCTGACTCTCGATGGTCGAGCCGGCTGCGGTACGCTCAGGGCGCTTTGCACCGCGGAAGATCTGGAGGCAACGCGAAACAAAATCTTCGACTTTTGGTTGTGTGGCGTTGGCCTCGTCTGCCGAAAGCAGGAAGCAGTACTCGAGTTTCAGAGCATTGATCGCCGGGACGTCCTTGAGCGGATCGTTTTCCTTCATCTAGAGAGTTAGTAGACAAGGAGATAGATCGCAATCATAATGGGACATACATCGCCTTCAATTCCTTGGGTCGGAGACACATATTCAATGAACTCCGTTAGAGATCCCTTATCCAAATCAGACAGGTATTTCCGAAGGTCTACGAAGCAATACAGTTTGGTCTTATTTCGATCAAAGTATTCCTGGCAGGCAGTGATCAATTCATCGCTCTTTAGGCTGCCGGACTTGAAGCTCCAGTGAATCAAGTCAAGGCGTGCCAATTGTGCGTTTCGTGATGTGGGAACAGCCTCGATGAACTCGTCGATGAACTTCCTGATCTCGGCAGTAGTTCTATAACATTCATTAGCCTATCAGAAGTCTCTTCTCCAAAAGTCGACTTACTCTAGATCCTTGATATTCTGAACCGAATGAACAAGTAAGCTCCAGACGGCCCAGTCGTCGCGCTCTTGTAGAGTCTTCTCCTCTGATTCATTAGTGGGAATTGCCAGAAGGTCCCTCGCATAGGAGAGACCCTCAGCCCACATCCCGGCCTTCTCCAAGCCAGAGAGTTTCTCTCCAACAAATGGCCAATCGTTTTGGACAATTCGTGAGCTCAGGCCCAAGTTCTGGCTATCAAGGAGCTTCACAACCTCCGAGTGACGCCCCTGAGATTCGCAGATCTTGATGAATAGTAAAAGCTCCTCGGCGTTTTGTATGGCTCTGGGAGTGCTCAGCAACTCTTTCTGTTGTGATGGGTATAAGAATCATCATCAAGCCGCAAAGATACAAAGCGTGGGAGTCGCCCGAATACGGAGAGAAAAGGGAAAGGTTGAACGTACTGGATCAGCAGGGACGCTATCTGCAGCTTTGGAGGCCATACGATAAGCCAGCGTCCCAAAGAGCTTCCGTTCGGCCTCCGAGCTGTTCTTGTCCACGGCAACAAGGTAACTGAGGAAAATGGCCCAGAAATAGTATTTCCGCGTCTTGGAGAAGTTGCTCTGAAGGCTCATAGCCGCCTGCGAAGAGCAGTTAGACCCGAATAAGTCTCGGCCGTAGAGATGCGTGTGATTCCGTTAAAGTGCAGCACTGACCTTTTGCGCTGATTTCCAGTCGTCTCCCTCGAATGCATATGAAAACCACCTCAACTGAACTTCTAAGTCCTGCGGCTTTGCCTTGGCAGCCTTTTCCCACAAGCTCCTCATGGTATCCTCCTGACCACCTATCTTCTGTAGCGTCTCCTGCAAGATCTCGAGTGCGTCCAAATCCGTCGTTGGCGGCTCTAGCTTGCACAACTCCAGCGTTTCAGCGAGGCCGCGCTGGCGATGGGCGTCGTCCGCATGGCGGTATAGGATCTCTGCTTTCCACGCCTATTAGGCACGAACAGAAATTAGCATTCATTCATGGGTAATAATGCAAGAAAGTGTTTTGTCACATGGCTAGGAAGCAGCCGAAATAATGAAACGGAGCACTGGAGGATTGATGAAACTCAAGAGCGGTAGTGAATAATTTACCTTGAGAAATCTCGAGTCCTCTCCCTTTTTCATGCGTTTCTCAATGAGCTGTAGGGCTTGCTTCAAGTTCTGCCCATCAATGGCGTCCTGGATTTGCTTGTTCCGCCGATGAAACACGGCGTCGTTGGTGGCCGACATGCTGAATCAGAAAGCCCGACGGTAACAATGCGAGATAAGATCTAGTAGACAGGGATAGAGGTCAAGGCAATGACCAGACAAAGGTCGTTTGCTGCCCGGCCGAGCACAGCACAGTTGTGCGGGGAATCGAATTGAAGATTGCGGAAGATGAGGGGAGGATCAATTAGCTGTATCGGAAATTCTTATCATCGCATGTTTGGCGGGGAGAGACTCTCCCGAGGCGGTGATGGCTGAGGTCAGTCGACAAGCTATATTGTCCTTCCAAATGTCTCGTTGCTACTGCTATATTATAGATCATCAATTGAATCTTTTGTACTATTAACTCTTTTGCTTTAATTAGTGGGTGGCTATATTGCGATCCTCATCAAACCCACGAAAGGTGCCTTTCATAGGTCTTCATTCCCAACATCATGATACTATCTATATAAATCCCACAGGAGCACCAGCTCTCAGTGGAGCGCATACTGAGAAAAGCAATATAAACTCAAGGAGTCATTTACAAGCTCTCGTAGCACAGACATTTCATGAACTATGGTAAATTCCACAGTAGTACATTAAACAAAACAATAATGTACAAGTTCAAAAACTTCGCTCGAACTCCAAGGCGCAAACTCCGGGTAAACACCACTAATCTAGATTAGTTGACTCTTGTAAACCTGCCGTCAAATAGACTGAATGTCTCGCCTGAGCGCCAAAGTAGGTATGCAATAGGACCTCTAACGCCTGACTCGAGTTGGAGAGGACGAGTCCGATCTTGGGATCCTATCTTTTTTCCAAAGCAGATATACTGGCTCTGAAGAAGATAATACCCTAAGATCTACAATGTTTGCGTGTTGGCGAGGGAATTATCCCGCTAATACTGCATCCCAGAGCTCTAGAGCGGTGCTGTAGAGGTGTCATCATCGACAGCATTGGAGCAGCTCTCCCCTGATATCAGGGCAGGTGACTAGGTGAGCTTCTTCTGGGTCAACTAAAATAATGTTAGCAAGATGATCATGTTGTTCCCTTGAGCACTGTGCTTGCCCCCCCACTGGGCTGTTTTGACTCTGCATAAATGACATTAACTAGTTCAACATACCCATTCCTTTTTGCAGTCACGATAAGCTCTTTCGGAAAAGGTTAGCTCTTGTAAGCCCACAAAATCGGATATAGCACAGAGTCTCAGGAAAAAATGGAACAAACATACTGGAAGTAGTCTCCACACATATCTTTGTCAAAGGCGTTCCGCTTCATGCACTTGAGACTTCGATCTGCGAAATCCTGGCATGGGTCATAATATTCACTCGCATGTTTGCTGTATCAAGGTCAGTACCTTAGTTGGTAAACTAGAGAGCATGTCTGAAGCAGAGACTGGCGAAATTCGGAAGAAACGAGATTTGGACACATTACATGCAATCGGAGGATCACCGGACAACAAGGTCTTCGGAACTATCCGGGACATAATACAATACGACAGACGGCACAGAGGATCTTGAAGAACAGAGAATCAGCTTACTTGGCAAACTTGCGCTCCGCTTTCTCCCAAGCATTGGGTTGGCCTGGCTGTGATGACTGCTGTTGCTGGTCGGCTTGGGACGATTGCGATGACATCTCTCCTATGAATGGAAGGCCTTGAACTCAGGATACAGTCTATTTTGAACAAAGCTGAGCCGCACAATAAGACGATCGTGGTCTTGTACCTGTGAGTATATCTGAATAATTGCGATCTTCTTCAATGATGATCCAGCCTCCATGCCAATACATGGACTGGTGCTGAGGAAAATCCGGGCCCGGGTCCCACAGTCTTGGCATATGGAGATATTTCATGGAGCTATAGTTGTAATTCACAAACAGTGACAAGAAGGAAGCACCTACTTAAGGGACTTATGCTAACTAAATTAGATTTGCAATTAATAGTTAGCAAAATAGAAGCTAGAGAAGACCTTCTGAGCCTATTATTATTATATAAGATTTGCAGGCCTGTTAGTAGCAAGTTAATAAGTATGACCCTGCCCATAGTGAATCATATAAAGAAAGTAACTTCTACTTCTAGACATCTCTTATCATAAAGAAATAACGATTTTGGCTGCTTAATAATCGGTCAAAATTCAGTTAAAATTGCCTCTTTGGGTTTAGCCTGTATGCCTCTTATTTCAGGCCTTAATTTTATATTTCCCCACCACCTTTCTAAGGCCCCTAAAAATTGGATGTTTTGATCATTTGATATCCCTACTATATGAGAATTTGACATCAATACTAGATGATATTCAATATTGATACAATTTGATCATTTGATATCCCTACTATGGAGTAGATGAGAATTTGACATTAATACTAGATAATATTTAATATTTATAATAGATAGTATTTAATATCCCTACTAGATAACAACTTAATAACCCTATAATATGAGAATTTAATATCCCTATTAGATAAGAATTTGATATTAATACCCCTCTACTAGATGATAATTTAATATCAATACTAGATGATGATTTGATCTCCCTACTAGAGAATTAATGTTATCTAAAGGTGAGGGCCGTAGGTCCGAACCACAGAGTGAACTCTGCCCAAGTGTAATTCGGCGTAGCCGAAGCTGGAGCGAGCGGAGCGAGTGGTAGCCAGCTTGTCTCATTTATAGAGTTAATGATTATACTAAGAGCTTGTCTGTAAGGCATAAGTAAATAGCAATTTATTCACAAGATTCACTTCTTCATAGTGAAAGTATATACTGGTAGTATGAGATTATATATGATAACTATAATTTAGGATTACTTATTATAGATACTCAGCATTCACACAACACAAGCGCCTGAAGGGATACTCATGCTAGTTTAATACCTCTCTTATTTTCTTCTCCTCTCCTTAACATCAGTCTGTCCTCACAGGAATACGTAGTCGCCTTTCTAATCCAAATGGTTCAGGTTGGAATCGTATTGAAGATGTGAGTTCCACTTGATAGCCCATCGCCTGTAGTTGCAGGTTCATGGATAGATGCAATGGACTGATGACAATCCAGAACTAGAAAAATGGCGGCTTCTGGAGCACTTTCTTCTGCTCCATCCCTTTTTCACACCAACGATGACGGAGATGCAGGAATAGAGAGTCATTCCTTTCAGCCACAGAAGCTAGCCGAAGCGGAGTTCGTCGAATTCGACCCAGGTAGACATCTCAATTTTACTCCTCCTTCGAAGGTCTATACCATGGCAGAGCTCGGGTACCCAGAGCGTCGTGGTATTTCTCCTGTTGGCGTCTCCGAACCCTTCACTATGTTCTCTGCCGAGGCCATTCAAATTATGAGAAAGGAAGCCCTTGGAGAGGAAGTCTTCGCCAAGTATCACTTCTCCAGCGATCTTGCAAAAGGCCAACTCAGAGGCTATGCTGCAGGGTGAGTTTTGCGATGGGTTCACTCACTTCGAATCGCGCTCTGACCATAGCAGGTGTGCCCCGTTTGTGTACGATGCCTGGAAGCATCCTCAGACTCTCGCTATTGTTTCTCAAATTGCCGGCGTCGATCTGGTTCCCGTTATGGACTACGAGATAGGACATATCAACATTTCCGTCCAGAGCGAGGGGGACAAAGCCAAATTTCTCGCAGCAGTGGCGGGGAAGGACAGTCAAGACGCCCGCAAGAATGTTTCTGACGGCTCTTGGGAAGATAAGGATGCGATCGTGGATTGGCACACTGACGGCTATCACTTTGTCTGCGTGGTGATGCTCTCCGACTGCAAGGGCATGATTGGGGGAGAGACAGAGCTGCGAAAAGGCAACGGCGAAACGATCAAGATCCGGGGCCCCCAGATGGTAAGTCCAGTGTTTCACGAGGTGTATAAACAAGCTTAACCAGGTTCATTAGGGTTCGGCAGTAATCCTCCAGGGACGGTACATCGAACATCGAGCCCTTCGTGCTCTGGGAATGACCGAGCGGATCACCATGGTGACCTCCTTTCGTCCACGGTCTCCGGCGATTCCCGACCACACGGTACTGACTACTATCAGACCGATTTCTGACCTTGGCGAGTTGTATCATCAGTTTGCAGAATACCGCTTTGAGATTCTCGAAGATCGTCTCAGGGGAGTCAACAAGTACATGCAGGACCGGAAGCGTGCAAACCGCCGCTTCAACACGGGATACCTGAAGCAGTTCATTCGTGAACAGATCGAATTCTTGGAGCACATGGACCGAGAGATCGTTGAAGATGACAAGGTCATCAAAGGCGTGACTGGCGACAGCCACCTCATTTCAGAAGATCTGAAGCTGAAGCACTCCAAGAAACGTAAGCTCTCTGCGGCAGAGTAGGCTGACGCTGGAGTGGAACATGCACATATTCCCATTGTCATTAGGCTCCAAGCTCTCAATTTCCTGTTTCGCCTTCAGTACTATGGGGCAAGCAGCTTTAAGACAGTTTCTCAGTAGGCAATCGAGTCTAGTCTTTCGCCTTCCCTTTCTTACTCCTGGCTAGTACTGCGGATTGCAATGCTTCTGGGTCCTGGGTGCGTGGGAATTTGCTGATCTGTGCTTGTCTCTTGTTTTGGATGTGTTACCAACGACTTTTCATGACAGCCGGTGTCCAACTCATGACAATATTTGTTCCAGGCAAGTCATAGTATCAAAAATAGTGATGAGTCTAAGCACGTTAGCCAATACCAATCGGAATGCAGCACATCAAGCTGTTCCTCCAAAGTGCTGACAATACTTAGGAGGCCAATTTCGATAATATTAAATGACTGCTCGGTAAGCTGGCTCAAAAACAACCCACCTCAACATATGCCTATTGAGCAGTCAAGTTCGATTCAGAGCGGAGAAGAAGACAATGGCAGACTTGTTGATGATTAGAGCTGCACAATAATACCCTTCGCCGTCGAGGGAATTATCCCTCAGCCATTCAGGAGTACACCATCTTGCATCTTATCTTATATTCATTAAACTATTTGCTCTTTTGCATGTTCAAGGACTGAAGTGTCATTGTCAATTCAGAGGCCCACACTGCTATTACTGAATAATAGCCATCATATTTAGGCCAGGGACATGGAACCAGAGACAATCAGACCAACACATGAAGATAGATCAAAGGTGATTGACTGTTGATTGATGGATTGTGAGGTGTCGAAAGTGGCTGTTGAGCCATCACATCGAGTCCATTGGAATGCCAGTCAGGTGACCCGCCGCCTATTGTCCGACGCGGTGTTTGTTCAGTTTGCGCGCGGAACTTCCGAAAAAGAAAGTCATGCTCACGTCGCCCTGTCCTGGATGAGGACCGTGGTTTATCGACCACGACTTTTTCTTTCTTCTTCTTCTTCTGCTTCTGCTTATCCTTTTCTCAAGTCTCCTTTTCCCTTCGCTTTCTTCCAGCTATTCTATCGTCCAATATTCACCGGGACGAAGCGTCGAATCCTCGAGGGATCGTCCCGCGGTTCGCCATTGGGGTCTGACCTCCTCCGGCCCTTCTATACTTCAGACCAAAAGGTGACTCGTGTTATTGAAGCTTTGCCGAAAGAGAATTCCGAATCTTGCCACTATCGCAGTATTTGCAATTTCGCTCGCGCGATTGTCCGCATCTGTGTTTCCTTGTCATTGCAGGGGCTTTCGGAGCAATATCGACATATTTCTCCTTCTGGGGAGATATATTATCCCGTTAAGCAAATGTCGCCATCTTCTACTGCGGGAGCCAGATCCACCAGCGACCCCGATAATGTGAACTCGACTAACTCGATAAATGGATTGGGTGACGGTGCATCAGGAGTAAGTAGACTAAATTTGAAATTTATCCAATGTTTTCGCCAGGCCGATGCTAAGACAGCCTTGCACAGCTCGTTCAAACGTTACAGGGACATGTAGACGACATCAGATCTCTCTTACAATGCGGTATTTGTGTTAAGCCACTTTATGAGCCTTTCACAATCGCCTGTGGGCATACCTTCTGTTACAGTGTTAGTTTGGTCAAAGTACTATTTTCCCATTATTCGGACGAAATATCTAACATTCGGGATAGTGCTTGTCATCATGGTTTTCTTCTGGAAGATCGAACAAAACATGCCCCGACTGTCGAGCGCCGGTAAAAGCTCAGCCTGCGCCTGCCTATTTGGTGAGCTGCTCTCTGCTTTCTGAACAATATCAACCTTTAGGACTCTTGTGCTAACATTCCGTTTCGAAGATTCGTTCCGTCGTCCAGATGTTCACGAGTCGGGCAGAGCTCCTGGATAAAAACGAGACAACCGCTCAGCATGAGCGTTCTCAGCGTGAGGAAGCTGAGAAAGTGGAGCGCGACAAAAGAAATACGCATCCAAGAGAAGGGGGATTGTTCCGGGGTACATTCAATAAACCAATCCGGCAGGCGCCCATCATCGATGTTGAAGATAATGTCATCCGCTGTCCGCGCTGTTCTTGGGAACTTGAGGATGATGCCGGATGCGCGCAATGTGGATACCTTCGAGACGATCAATCATTATCGGACGCTTCCGATTCGGTGACGGGTTGGACCGAAGAGGACGAGAACTCTGAGATGACTGATTACTACGATGACGAAATTGAAGTTGGGTTTGGCGGTGGCTACCGCAATGGCTGGGATCTCGATCAACTTTTTCACCATTTAACTCCCGCTCTCCGGGACCATATTCAACGCCTTCCTTCCGTCGACTCAGCAAGCCTTGACTATTCGGAGATCGACGACTACGATGACGGGGATGAGGATGCCGACATGGATTCTTTTATTGATGACGACGATCATATCGGCCGCGATTACGTCTCTGATTCGGATATATCTACTGTCGTCGGTGGTCCGGACCGTAATGGAGCCCACTATGATGTGTCACAATTGGACACTGACTCTTCAATGTCACACACTAGTGATGATGAGGAGAGTTTGAATGACCTTACGCCAACTGGATCCAGCGTCCTGGACCACGACGGGCAAGTTGATGAACACCATGACGACGACGACGATGACGATGATGAGCCTGTACGGCCGCCCGTCAACGTGAACCGCCGTCGTGAACCTACGTACGATGAAGTAGTGATATCAGTGAGACATGGGTCGTCACCTCCGCGTGTTTTTACCTCGAGGACTGCTCACTCGGCTGGTCGCGGTACCTCATCTCATCGGAATCAAGCGTCTACTGCGGGATCATCGGCATACAATGCGATTAACGTGGAAGACGATTCTGACGAGGGCCCCGTTGGACCGTCACGGCGGGCAAGAAACAGAAGGGGTTGCAGGGTTCAAGTCTACTGAGCAATCCACTGTCCCCCGGCCTGCGGCCACATGAACCATTCCACCGACGCGCTGCAACCTTCGGACAGAGTTGCATCCTGTGTCCACTTGCAATGGCACAGCGCAAATCATAAGAGGGACCATAACCATGGAGATGCTACTGCGCTGCTTGCACTCAGACCGACCATATTTCTTTTATTTCGATGATTCACGATTTCCGGCATTCTGGAAACATCATACCATCGATGCGTTTACCTTGTTCACTCATGGGAGGGAGTAAAAGATCGGAACCGGGTCTGGGGACATCTATTTTAGCATTCGAGGGCGTGATTTTGGCTTTATTGTTCAGGTTCATTTCCAATACCCCTTGCCGTCATTTTCAAGGCCAATTTTTAGCTGTGCTCATACTTGGTCTTCATAGCAGTTACCATAGCACTTATCCAGCGAACACTTTTAAAAGAGGGTTCATGAATTCGTTGAAGTTGTTGTCTTTACTCGTAAAGGAAAGTAAGTTTGTCCGGTCGGCACGTATTAGGCACTGCTATGAAATTTACGAAGAGGCCATGGCATGTCAGAAAAAAGCAACTCGGGCCCATATTGATGGCTGAAATTCCTGAAGGGACACTGCCACAAATAGTTTCTCAAGGCCTGTGTTCTTGTTGATTTATGTACATTGAAGGCTAGGGAACGTACCGAACGCCGGACTATTTCCCAGTACAAGAAGATGCAAACAAAATCGAAGCTGGTATACGAGTCTTTTGACACCGTGAATTTCTTTTCAGTGCGTTGCGGAACTTCAATTCTGCAACCAATGCCCTAATGATACGATATGGATTCAAAACGTCTGCATGCAAGATGCATGCTCCAATGCTCCATTCCGCGAATGTGTTCCAATCACTGCTTGCTGTCGGAAATAAAGGGAACTTCAAAGACCACCGCACCGTTGCGGCCGTCAGCTGCAGACCCCTCATGGAAATTGTTCGCAAAGCACTTCCAGCGCCCAAACCTGTGTTCCTTCCCCACCGCAGCGACGATGCAGAGACCGCGGGGCTCGGGCTCGGACGTCTTGGTCTTCGACTTGGACTCTGCCAGGCCTTGGCCGGGTTTGGCCGTGTCAACACGACGCTCGAAGACGGCGATATCATTGATGACACCCTTGATGAGAGGGTCGGCTTCGTCCTTGGTGTCCTCGGTGTGTTGATTCTGGGGTAAGTCGACGGACATGGTATCTACGTCAGCGGCTGTGTTAAACTCGAGAGTTTGTTTGAGCTGTCGAGACGGCGTGTCTGGTGCAGCGGATCCCAGCTTCCCTCCGCCGACGGGGCCAAGCGGTATGATTGTCCTCTTGTCCTCGGAAACCTTCCACGCTCGGATGAAGCCGTCCCAGCTGCCGCTAAGGACGATGTCGGTGCCGGGAACTGTTGCCAAGGCTGTGATCCAGCGGGGCATGCGCCGCAGGAAACGGGAGTTTGAGTCCGCGAGTTTCTCATCGACCTCAGCTGAGAGCTCGTCTAGTGGCGGTAAAGGGTCCAAGCCGTGAGCGTATTGGATGGTGTGGAGCGGCTTCTTCTTGTGAATGGACCAGAGGGAGATAGAGCCGGAATCTGAGCCTGTGACAAAATGGGTGGGGGGTAGAGGTGCTACACAGTCGATGGTATTTTCCTGATACGTGTTTTTTGATGATCCACCACGGAAGACCAGTTGTGTCTCTTCAATGACCTTCCACAACCGAGCGGTGCGATCGCGTGCTCCAACACTGATGCACTGATCGATAGTCATGGCGGCGACTGACGACACATTGTCCTGGTGCCCGAACAGGGTCTCAACGTAGGCATGGCCGGCCGAACTCAACGACCATGTCTTGATGGTTCTGTCATAGGAGCCCGAGAATAATTGCTCACCGGAGCTCATAGTGGAGATGTGTCGAACGAAGGCGAGCCCGCTAACTGCATCGCGGTGTTGGCTGAAGGTCTGCATTGGCGTCAAAGTAGCTGCATCCCAGATGATCAACTTCCGGTCCTCTCCACCAGTAGCCACGAACTTTCCCGAAGGCGACACGGCTACTGAAAGAATAGCCTTGGTATGACCA